ATCGCTCTAGAAAATTCACGGTAGACGTGATATTTTCAGACAATTTACTATTTTCTTAAGAAGTTAAAATCATATTTTTAGTCGCGGAGGGAATCATTCACGTATGCATCTGATGTTTGGGGTTTATTACCAACGTTTCCGTCTGGTCCTGAGCCTCAGTCGGGTAAGTCCTTGCATCGAATTAGTCTTCATCTCCTATTACTACTTATTTTCTTGTTACTACTGGTGAAAAAAGCGATTTGATGACGGTTGGCTTGATTTGGGTTTATATTGAGCGCAAGATCTAGATGGTATAGGGGCAGGTGAGTGCCGCTATACTCGAGGGCGGCTGTATGGAATTGGGCCTGAACTTCACCGCTAATTTTTGGATCGCTGCAATTGACAATTAAACCACACTCATGATTTGAACACTTTCGAAAGAATCGGTTCAACGATTAGCGGTGGAGCGCGGTTAGTCGTGTTTCGCTATTGGTAAATCGCACCATCGGGTAGAACGGATCGTGAAGTAATCAGGTAAATGGAGAGGCTCGAACGTCTGGTTACTTGGTCGAAAAAATTGGGCGAGGTTCTCTACTGTTGATCCTTCCTTGCTTAGCCTGCTTTGAAGGTGGCTTGCATGACCATGCTCTCGCGCTTTTACAAGCCCGGCTATCTGGCTTGTAAAAGTGCCAGAGCGCCAGGGTCGCGCGAGCGATTGGATGCGCGAAGTAAGAACGCGCTGTGATCTGTCCCCTTTCTCTGAGTACGAGTGCAGGCTAACGCTTCATTTCTCTCTCTTCTGTGCCCAAAATCTGCCTACTCAAAAGGTTCTTCTTTGGCCTTCGAGTGAGCTGTCTCTAGAGAATCTTTCTCATAATAACTTCTCCTTTTGTCTATTTCACATGCCTATCTCAGTGTGTTTCCTGTAGAAGATGAAAAGATTTGCTCATGGTCAGAATACAGAATAGTTGTAATGCGCAACTCGAAACCTATATTACGTTTCAGTCATGTCTGGCCACTTCGCAGATCCTGCTAATACGAGAGTCACTAGCACAGGGAACGATCTCACTCAGGAATGCCCCAGTACTAATGTGGGTTTCGATTTCAGTATTATTTTCATAATATTCACTGAATAGATCCTTCAGGAGCTTATTCCTGCACCACTTCCACCACGGCAAACAATGTCTTACGCCTCAGCTATGAAGAATAGGGGAACATCCCCCAGAGATCAGACGTCATCACAACAATTTGTGAATTCGGCCATCTCTATACAAACTGATGTATTATTTCTTTACATATCGCTCTACATATCGATACTCATTAATCATTTGTCTCGTGAATATTCAAATTGCAGACTGGTAGTGACAGCGGTGTGGAGCTTGAAAGTGGTTCAACAACGAGTTCTGACTCGGAAGTTGCATCAACTAAGGTATCGTTGTATTCAGTAAAAATATCTTGTGAACCTCCAAGGGCGATCTTTTAAACGTTCGAGGTGACTGGGTCCACAGCTGCAATAGCGTGCCAGCTTGTCGCTGGAGGGTGCGCAGAAGCTGGATAGTTCTGATACTGTGATACTTGTGCAGATATCAAGGTCCTTCAGCGAAACACATACTCTGCAGTAGAGAACAAGCGGAAGTGAGGGAGCGCAGAAAGTAACTCTGCGACTGGACATGTGGCCGGCCGTGCGGCACCCCGAGCGGAGTCGGAAAGCGACGCCCGGCCATCACTACCTTGGAGCTCTTCACGTGCACTCGTGAGCGGAGAAAGTGGACCACTCAGCAATTTTGGGCCCTTTCACCTCAGACAAGTCAAGGATCAGGTTCCACGGAAGTGACGTGCAGACTTCGTAAGCGGCGGGTCTCTTTCCTTTTCTAACTTCAGCTCACTTCATGTGTGCTCCGTACATTTTGGGCCATGCCCTACCCATCCCACCCTTGACTCGCCCCTCAACCTGGCTCTTCAGGTGAAGCCGAATTTCCGGACAGACAGGAAAAGCCAGACACGATAGACAGACGTAGCTCTTATCGAGAGTTTCAACTTCCCTATCCATTACCGAATCGTACCCTTTTTTAGTCGACTTTTTTGAAACGACAGCCGGACGCCCTCTTAGCATTCACAAAGCATTTTTGCCTCACTCAGTCTACTTCCTGGAATCAGCGATTTTCTACACCAGATGTAATAGCGCCTAATGCTAGCTTGCTTTTTTTATCACATAACATATCCTCCCCCCCCCCCCCTGATTACAGTAGATTATTTACTCAATGCGGTGATGATATCAGTGACTTCAGGTGGAGGCTTACATAACAAGTGAAAGTCTAAAAGAAGAATCCAGTAAATCCTCGACGGTAAAATGATTCAAGTTATCCTCTCTACCTGTTCTTTCCCTGTAGCAATATTTGTGAAATATGAGAGATTCATTTATTATGCTGCATATAGCGAAAAAACATTTGCGGAGATCCACGTTAGTACACACAGTTACTATCCCTGCAAATCGTGTGACGCGGTGTGGATTTGATTGGAGCGCATCTAGAGCGACTTTTTTCCACCGGTAGTGCTATTCCGAGATCGCTACAGTTGGTGGGGAAATCTGGCCTGGTTGCGGTCCAAGCCACGTTCCCGTCACACTCCCTTTTTTTGCTGGGATGCTGACTGAACTACCTAGTCTTTCCTGGCTCAACATGCTCTATCATTCCTTTATTACTAAATCCTTTAGCTACTGGCGTGAAATCTATGCAAATGACGCCGACACCTTCGTCGCAGCATGGCTCTCCCAACTGACACCCCGTCTGCGCTCTTTTTGCGAACCGTTTACATTTTCAGGATATTACAAATCCACTCAAAGACTGCCCAGTTACTACTACAGCATCATTACCATTAAGTAGTGCAGAAGATGAACTGCTTTCTGGTCTTTGTCTGGACTCGAACTGCAGAATATCGGCGGAACCTATGGGAAAAATGTGTGAGTGAAAATTGAATCATTGAGTCGTAAATTGTGATTTTGGATTTTGATATACCTTTCGTCATAATAGTGGCTTCATGTTATTGACTGTAAGATACCACAAAAATCGGGTATTTGCCGTCTTGATCGCTGCGAATACTAAGACGTTTTTCTAGAGGGGGGAAGGGGTTGGGTATGGCGCGCCGGAGCTCGTTCGTTTCCAATTGTGGAAGCTGGCAGACAATCTCAGTTGGTGACAGACTGGCTGGCACCGCGCCAAATCCAGCCTTCCTGAAATGCTAAAGCGTCCTGAGACTTGCTGAACGTGCTCAATTGCAGCCCCTTAACATCTACCAGGTATTGCGTGCCCTGGGCGACATACAATCCCCCGATACAGCTGGCAAGCTTCCTTGTACATTTATTATTCGAAAAAACCTTTTGTTCGTTTGGAATAACCTGTATAAATCAGTGTTCTTACCCTCACTGGCTGCTGTGGTGCCAGTTTACCCTTCCCGAAGGGCAGAGATTGGTAGAACGACCCGAGATTTGACTTTGGGCTGCGCGCGGTAAGCGCGCCATGGCCACCACACCACCTCCGCCTCAACCTTTCGTCATATCTCGAAATAGTGTTCTGCTCCATTTCAGCCACTATAAGTGATGAAGGAACTTCTCTACCACAATGGCATCTTTTTAATGGCAGAAGCTTTTCACTTGGTGAAAGCATCATCGCTAACCTATTTCTACCAGTATGGAATCGTGAAATTCAGTAAATATCAACAGAGTTTTACTTCCCGTGAGTACATTATCCGAATTAGGCTGCGTTCATACTTTGCTTCAGCGTTTCGAGCGTACGCCAGCGTTTTGAGAGTTTCACGGGTAATATTAAACTTTCTAGATCGATATCCATACTTGTATAGTCGCTCAAAACGCTGCCGTACGCTCAAACCACTGACGCAAAGTATGAACGCAGCCTTATTTCGTAGTATTTCTGCACTTATTATTTTCCAGCTATAATTCTTCCTTTAAGGTTGTATTCGTAAAGTTCGCTGCCATTTGAACAGGATTTCTCGATTTGAAATCAGTTCATTCCTCATTCTCAAGATAAATTTGTTATTCCATCGTTGATTTTTATCGTTTCGTTTTATTACCTACAACTTTGTTGACTGCACAAATAGTTGTGTTGTTTATTCGGCGAGCATCAAACCGTGATGATAGTCGTTCGGCGAAAGGGTTAGTTTACTGGCGATGTGCTCTGCTCGCCGCTGCTGCCCTTTTTGTGATGCTTCGTCGTGAGAGTTTTAAGCAGTTTATCCTGGTTTTCCCTTCTCCCTTTTGTTGACAATATGGAGTCTAAAATAGAGTGGTTAATTCGTTATTTTTTGCGACAAGCAGTTGTTAAAAGCGACTGTGTCGCTCACTTATTATTCCTTCTGTTTCGTCTTTTGAAGACTCAAAGCGTGTTTTTGAATGTGTTACTCGGTTGTTTGGAATCTCTTTGGCGTCGCATGCTGACCGACATGACTATCTGCAGAGAACGTGCATGCGCTTGTTGATTTGTTTTGTTATGTTTGACCGGAACGATCTTATGGTTAGAATTTTCCATCGTCGGGTATACTTTCAGGCTCATTTTCGCTTTCGTAACCGGTTTTTATGAACTCTCGTTGTCGTAAAAGCCTTCGAATCAGTAGGAGAATAGGTGTATAAAGTGTATATATGCAGGTACAGAATTTGAAGTAATTGCTACCAGTTTCTTAATGTCTTACAAAGCGGCTTGGAATCTGGAAGTACCGAGTGAACTGCTGAGGAAAATCATGAAGGGACGTTACAAACGTCCCAGATGGGACGTCGTTTCCCGATCTTTAGTATTACGTGAGCGAAAAAATTGCTGAGAGACTTCGCGTCAAAGAGAGAGGGAAGCAATGAGACAGTAGGGCCATGTCAGCGAAACGTGAGCCTGTAGTCGACATCGTCGCAATCATTCCGCAGTGTTGAGCAGGGGCGGAATGTGCCCGCCTCCAGCCGACTTGCTTCACCCATGTGGATCTGTGAGCGAAAGATTCATTGAAACCAGAGATGAAAAATCCTTAGAGGACCTACTCTCTCCCTTTGAAAACCGGCCCGACTAGTTAACGACGATGTACAACTGCAATCGTGCCCTGCGGCCTAGCTTTGGCATGCAGGCCGTAAGCTGATGCAGGTTGGCTGCCCTGCTGTGCATGCTTTCAAGCGAAATTGTAAGTCAGAAAAAGCAGTATACAGGACCCAGGGTGGGGCGTGAAGGTGAGGGCGAGGGCTCAGCGATGGCTCAAGTATTAACTCAGTCCTCTACTAAAAGAGTTCGCCTGGACAGGTGGAGAACGGAATTTAGCGTCGCTATCGCTCCCCGGCCTCATCCCGGTGTTCTCTCTACCCAAGGGTGTGCGACTATCTACCTCCGGTTTTGCTGGAAATAAGATCCTTTCAGCCTTTGATGATGGTTTATCTAGCATATCTTCCCTACCAAAAGCTCACTTAAATCGTACCTTTTCTAAAGCGTTGGCAACCACACATAATGAGCTCATACGTTTTTATGAGGTGGTGAAGGCTTACAGATCAAAGCAGATGTGAACGCTGCCCGTCACACATTGGGAAATCTCCAACGGGAGTCTTATTTGGTCGTTGGAGGGGGGGGGGGGGGGAGAAGGGGTGCGTAATTGCATATGGGGGAAAATTCTCCTTAATTTAATACAAGAATGCTGAGTTATGGGCAAAAGTCGTGCCCCAGGCGGGAGTCGAACCCGCACCTCACGCTTTCCGGGCGAGTGCGCTATCCGTTACGCCACCAGGGCCGCTTTTACCCTCTCAGCTTAACCGCTTATGCCGTAACCCTTACAGCACTGCACATGTTACTTGGTCAGCCGTAATCGTTAGATATCGGCAATGAACCGCGAAGGCGAAGGCTTTACAAGTTTAAGCCTTCGGCCTCGCGGTTCATTGCCGATATCTAACGATTACGGCTGACCGGCTCACCAAGTTAAACGTGTGAGTGCTGTAAGGCTACGGCATAAAAGCCGTTAAGCTGAGAGGGTAAAAGCGGGAGACGGTAAAGAGGATCGTAATTCGCCGCACCGCCACGCGCGGCGATGGGCGCGGCGTTTTCATAACTCGTTTTAACCTGTCGAATGGAGCACCGGACTTCATGTAGACCCCGTCATCGTAGACACTCATTACTGTTTTCGGTCCTTAATTGCATGTTGTCGCCATCTACTGCCTGAAACCATCGTCCTTTGCGGGCGGGACGTCGCACGCGACGCCCAGCAGCGCGGCAAATTACGATCCTCTTGTCACATACCCGGTAAAAGCGGCCCTGGTGGCGTAACGGATAGCGCACTCGCCCGGTGAGTTCGACTCCCGCCTGGGGCACGACTTTTGCCCACAACTCAGCATTCTTGTGATAACATTCGGAACGCGTACTGCGGCGTTAAACAGCAGTTATCATAACAAAACAGCTTCAAAAATCTCCTCAATTTGATTTCTTCCGCTTGGGGGCGCTTTATATACACTCCTAACCCTCCACACCCCTCCTCCAAGCATAATCCGCGTCGTTACAGAACTACTATTCCTCTTGTTTAGTTGATCGTTT